AGTTATATATATATATATATATATATATATATATATATATATATATATATATATATATATATATATATATATATATATATATATATATATATATATATATATATATATATATATATATATATATATATATATATATATATATATATATATATATATATATATATATATATATATATATATATATATATATATATATATATATATATATATATATATATATATATATATATATATATATATATATATATATATATATATATATATATATATATATATATATATATATATATATATATATATATATATATATATATATATATATATATATATATATATATATATATATATATATATATATATATATATATATATATATATATATATATATATATATATATATATATATATATATATATATATATATATATATATATATATATATATATATATATATATATATATATATATATGTACCTCTTTGAGAATATCTCCACTTAGTAGCAACATCGCCAATTCGCCCTCCAGAGCACAATAAGTGTTGTCTTAGAATTTCACTTAAAGTTACATGATCTAATGTCAATTCAGACAATTTGCAACCTTGGTGCACCTGACTCCAACTAGATGCTATAGTAGAAAGTTTTACAGCCTTTGTCATTGATGATGCTCCTTCATTCGTGCTAATATCATTTGTTATGTCAGATGCTTGAGCATGAATTTCATCTTCTTCATCTGTTTGATATTTAAAAATGTTTGCTAATAACAATTGTAGAAGGTCACTCCAAGGTCCAGATGTTTCTTTTAATAATAGTGCTTTTTCCAGTAAATCTAAAGTAAAACCATTTGGGAAATATGCACTAACTTCCAGTTCTTCATTAAAAAATTCTAAAAATTCTAGAATCATTACACTGTCGCCAAATTTTTCATTAGGTATGCTACTTTTGACTGGCGTAGCTTCTGGGATAGGAGAAAGATCTTCACATTCAAGATCCTCCCTTGGCTTATTCCATTGTCTTATATATGCAGCTAAAGCTGCTGATTTTTGTTTTTCCTCCTTTTTACGTTCATTTTGCAATACTCTTTCTTCTTTACGTTTTGCTTTTTCTTCAAGGGCTTTTGCCTTAAGATCTTCTTTAAATTTCCCATTCATCCTATTTAAAAGTTTTGTAATTTTAATATATTTTTAATAACTAGACAGTGCAAAGTGCCTTTAATTTAATATATATCGTTTTACCTCGGTTTGCGAAATTTTTTTATATCCACTCCTCCTTGATTCACTTTTTTTAAAGGGTTAGGTTTTTCTATTAACTTCTGTTTTGATACATCTGTAGTAAGAAATTTATCTATTGATTCCTGTTTATGTTTAACAGGCTTTTTAATACGTGATGTAAAGTCTGGAGGAGGACCAGCAAATATGGTATCAAAACGTACTTTATTAATCCCATATTTTTGTAAAACACTATCCTAGAAATGCAGAAAAATTTTCTCCATCAATATATTCACAAAATTTGTGTGTTATTGCTATTAATATACTAACTTTAATAATCCATATTCCACTTTCATTCTGTTCACATAACTGACGTAAAAAAATTTTATTACGCTCTTTACTGTAATGTTGCTTCCTTCTTCTCACTTGTGCTGCTTCCACTATCATGAGTTGACTAACATCAGAGTCTCCAGAGTCCAATTGTTCCACTTCATAACGAAATAATTTTGCCGGTGGATGATACTGTTGTTCTTGTGGGCTCCTATGTAATAAACTTAAATTACAATAATATGAATGCACATACACACATTTTTCATTTATGTAATATAGATAAATATTATACCTGTTGTTTTCTTTGTTATATAATTTAATTTGTTGTTCTGAGGGTGCAATAACTTGAAGAACATGACAATCACACCAAGAATCCTCTGTAAAACTTGCTTCTACCATTTCACCAACAAAATAACGATCCCTTGCAAATTGATACACATCTTCTATCATTTCCTTAAAGGATGATCTGTTTGTTTTACTGGCAAGATATAATATAGGTATACGTAGCTGTAATATAAAACACACAATCAACAAATCTAATATTTTAATAATGTAACACTAAATTTTTAATGAAATATCACACCTCCATAGGAAATTCTTTAAGGCTTCTTTTTGCATTTTCTTCACATTGTAAAGCCTCCTCAAAGGTCATGTTAGTTCTGCCAGTTATACTACATGACCATATAAGTGAGTTACACAAAATAATCCTCTCACAAAATTCACTGCAATCATAAAATATGTTATAACACCCTAAATGCAATGTTATTAATATCAATGAATGCAATAACATTTTTCTAAAAGTGGATAGCAGATTTACATATTATTGCAAAGATGAAAATACACTTAAAAAACACGGATGTAAATATGTAATAGAGTAACAAAATAAAACTGAGATAATTTAATCTATGATCTTTTCGAAATTATCATGCAAGATTTAACTAATGACGGTAGATAAAATTTACGTGTATGATCTAAATGTTTCTTATAATATACTTTTCAGCTTTATCTATTCAGTATAGAGCAAAAGGATATACAATAACAAATCATTAACTAGCATGTCGACATGTATTATTTACGAGAATAGCTTCAAGGAAGCAAGATAATGTTGAAAGAATACGAGATATTCATGACTAAGAAGTTGCATTAACGAAACTGCAGAATATGTTTCGAACTCATCTCAGCTGTCATGGTCTTACTTGTAGTCCTTGAAAATTTCATTGGTAACCTCACAGTGGAAAACTTCGTCGTCGTCTTTAAAATCTGACGAAACGTGAAGACGTTGGAACGGCTGTTTACGAAGAAGCGGCATGTCGACTCTTGGTAAATCTACGTCTTCGTTCACGATTCTAACAAATTATAATCAATTCTACGTCGAAGATAGTGCTATACTTTTTCCGAAACACCGAGAGACACATGCAACACACGCCAACTCTTATAAACGCGTTTAAAGTTTCAACTGCTTTTTAATTTCCCCTAGACCTTGTTGCGATTTACTTGATTTGAAATTTTGTTTATTTATACGCACTGAACATAAAACTTTGATATCGTTTCACGAAACATTTCGAGTCTCATGACAAAGCACGATTTAACGGTGCTCGTGGAAGCGCGCATTCACATCTGGCATCTCAAAGCCGGAAACCAATAAAAAGAATAATGTTGCCAACATAAAGCTATTATTTAAAACGCGGGAAATAAAGATAATCATGTGATAATGTTCGTTGCGCTAATGCATTCAAAATTTTCAATTCGATAAACGTCTCTTCTTTCAACGATAATACAATTTCTATAATTGTCACAAGTATTTGTGATATTATTCGTGAAGAAAATTCATTACGAACTATATAAAATATAACTGTAACATACTATCTTTTTCAAGTTGGTAATTAGTATCCGGTCTAGATATAAAACCTACTAAATTTGGCGGGAATTGTTCGCAATTTATCTAGGTAAAATTATTATGTTTTTATTCTCATACAGTTATAAATAATAACAGTTTCTATTATAATTACTATTATTAAACAACTCCAAATTTTTCTCCTTAATCTTTGTAAATTACTATAAGATTGTATAAAATAAGCGTTCTAAATATATTTTATAGAAGGTTTTATTCTCTTTTTCTGTGTAACTTATATATTTGTATAAAAAGACTATATACAAATAAATAATTATTTTAAATCCATATTTTTATTACAAAATATTATTCCAACCATTCTGTAATGTATTGGCACTTTGTAGGTGTAACATCACCGACATCACAACAATTTTTTCTCACCTGTATTAAAATATTTCTATATTATTAAGTCACAAAAAATATGTATGAAAAAGAAAAATAAAATAGCTTACCGGACAAATGCCGCAAGTAGATTTAATTAATCCAGGTGGACTTAATAAAGGTTCTACTGCTCTATATAAAGTGCTCCCATCGCCTGAAAGAGTACGTTCTACTTTTCCATCATAAACTAAGGTATTCAATATCATCTCCAAATCTTCAACTGATAACTTCACCTATAAATATTTGCATTTTTTTATAATGCCTACATATATAACTTGAAGAAAATTATAATGATCATTCAAACCTTGCTTATTCCTAGATCAGAGATAAATTTCCATACTTCTTTAGATGAAGCAAATGTAACATTTCTAGCCATGATCGGTCCACCTCTACAAGAGTTCATTTGTTCCCTTTTATTCTCTAGAAATCTATAACATTGTTGATTAAGAACATCAACAAATTCCGCTTCAAAATCTTGATCTTGGTACCATGCACCTCCAGTTACAGATGTGTCTGGCTCTAAATTGTATAACATATACACTTTTTTCTTACTTGCTGCTACAGACTTAACAGCTTTGATAAATTTTTTAATCTCTAAACTTTTTAAAATTTTATTTAATTGAGTGGGCATTAAATTAGATTTAAATCTTATATCACGAATCCAAATCCCTTTATTCCCCGCTTCTTCAATGATGGTATATACGATCTTTTCTTCATTATCAGCACCTTTAGCTATTTTTGCTTTAGATGGATCTTTCAAACGATATAACAAGGAACCACCTTGCTTAAATAGATCAAAATGACCCTGAGATAAAAGTTTATTTATAATTTGAGCTCTTTGAACAGGTTGCAACTCTGGCATTTCAGTACTTAAGTCTTTATCAGATATTCCTTTTGGTCTTGTTTGTGCTAATGCAAGAATTCTGAAAATTTAAAATACCATATTTAGATATTTTTTTCATATTTCATTTCTATAATAATAAAATATGAGTCTATTATGTAATAACATAATTATTTATATTGTACATGAGTAATGATTGTAACCTATACGTAACTATATACGTAGTAAATGTCATTAATTTTTAGTAAAACGAAATAAATCTTACTTTTGTTCAATCGTTTCGTATGAATTTATATCTGCATTGGTTGTATCGCGTTCCTTCGAAGTACTAGCTTCGGTTTCCATTATACTTGTGTAATATTAAACATGCAGTTCACACGATTATCTTCAAGATTTGCTAGGTTATATTCATATACTTCCGCTAATAACCTGCAACCGGAACGATAAGATTTATTATATTAAAGCAAAAATTATTTAGAAAACATGGAAAATTCTTTAAATGAATCGGATACTGAAGATTCTTTGACTATTGCTACTAAAAACTGGGATCGAATTATTAGTAATGCTAAAAAGGTACAATTTGTATACCAACATATAATTATAAGAAGGACAATACCTAAATTTTCTATGAACTGTACTACGATTGGGGTTAGGTTATATTAAATATATTATTATTTTTTAAAGGTTGGTTACAGGGAAGGAGTAGAAGATGGGTCAAATTCTGTTTTTCAAAATGGTTTTGATAGTGGATATAAAGAAGGCTTTCAAACGGCTTTTATTCTAGGAAAGTTTAAAAGTTTATTAAATGCTATACCAAAGGATGTCGAGCATCCGCAAAATATAAAAGAAATTTTTGATAAAACTAGAAGAGGTGCGTGTCATATATGTATAACAGAACTTCATAATGGCAATAATACACAGAAGAGTTTTGATGAAATCATCAATGAACAAAGATCGTATTCAGTGAAAGTTCTTCAAACATCGTATGAGTATTTTCAACCATATGTAAAGCAATTAAATATTAGCGAATCTGATATATTAAAGATACGAGATGTTCCAGATTTAGAAGATAATTAATTTATAAATCAAAACAGTTTTTTGTATTTTTTTATTAGCATATATATTTTTATGCTTCAAACGTAAATAAAGAATTTTAATTGCAGAATTTTTATAAATATAACCCTTCGGGAGATCCCTCCTTTTTCCGATACAAAACGCTCTCTTTAGATTTTTTGAAATCATCACTAGTAACTTTCATACGACGTTCGCGTAAAGCCATTAAACCAGCTTCAGTACATATAGCCTATAAGATAAAAATATTGTTTAATGTATCATTTAATTCTTTTTCCATTCAAATACCATTATATAAATAATGCTTTACCTTTATGTCTGCACCTGAAAGATCATCTTTAGCCATAATTAATTCTGCTAAATTTACATCAGGTGCTAAAGTCATTCTGCTAGTATGAATGCTGAATATTCTTCTTTTTGTTTTTTCATCAGGCAATGGAAATTCTATTTTTCTATCAATACGGCCAGGTCTGATTAATGCTGGATCTAATGTTTCAATTCTATTTGTAGCCATAACAACTTTAACATCTCCGCGACTATCAAAACCTGAAAAATAAAAATACTTTGTTACTAAAATGTAAAACATAATTATAATAATACTGTATAATTGAAATTAAAATACTTTTCGTACCATCAAGTTGATTGAGGAGTTCTAACATAGTTCTTTGAATTTCGCGTTCTCCACCACTATTGCTATCATATCGTTTTGTGCCTACAGCATCTATTTCATCTATAAATACAATAGAAGGGGCATGCTCTTCTGCAACCCTAAATAACTCCCTAACAAGTTTGGGACCATCTCCTAAATATTTCTGTATAAGCTCAGAACCAACAACTCTCAAAAAGGTTGCAGAGGTTTGATTAGCAACAGCTTTTGCTAACAATGTTTTTCCAGTTCCTGGAGGACCATAAAGTATGACTCCTTTTGGAGGTTTAATACCCATTTCTTCATAATACTCTGGATGTGTTAAAGGTAATTCTACAGATTCCTTGATTTCTTGAATTTGTGTATCAAGTCCTAAATAATGAAATATGTTTGTGAATTAGTAATGTTATATAAAAATTTGTAATAGTAATGCAAATATTTCATACCACCAATATCTGCATAAGTTTCTTGTGGAGCTTTCTCTAGTTTCATTACTGTAACCATAGGATCTGTATCATCACCTAAAACTCCAACAACAGCATGAACTTTATGATTTAATAGAACAGAACATCCAGGTTCTAATTGATCCTTATCCACAAATGATAAAATTGATACATAATGCTCAGAGCCAACAGATGTAGAAACTATTGCATGATTATCATCAATAATTTCTTCTAATGTTCCAACAGACATTGGAGTTCCACGTAAGTCATCGACTTTAGATCTTTCTTCTTCATTCTTTTCTTCTTGTGGCTTTAGTCTTTCTTGATTTCGAATAAATTCTTCTTCCATTAACAAGTAATCTTTTATACGTTCTAACTTCAGAAGCTTTAGTCTACAACGTGTATGAGGTGTAACTTGTGGTAATTTTAAAGCAGCATCTGGTCCTTTTGTACGCCGCTTCTTTTTGCCTACTCTTGTTGGGATAGGTGGTTCATATTTCTTTTTCTTATCCTTATCATCCTTCTTATCACTTCCTGTACCACTGGTACCAGATTGATTCTGTCCCTGATATAATAAATATTACCTTTCAAAATAATTTCAACTTCATAATACATAATATTTTTAATATAATTTCGAAAGAATGTTGCGTATGAATAAAAAAACACAGTTGGCAATGAATACGAAACTTTCAGTTTGAATAATATGAAATTTATCAGAAAACGTGTTATAATTAGTATAACCTAAAATGTCAAACATAACATAATATACTTATTTAAAAAGAAAGTAATAAATTTTATAATTAATTGGATATAGACGTTAAATATTTTACTATAAATTATTCTAGAATAGTTCGAGTTCCTTAATTTACAAATAATTAAGAAGGCTTTAGAAATTACCATTTTTGCTTCACTGTTTGGTCACGAATCGAAACGGCGAAGTCATTCGCCTTTATATGAGCAGAATCGATTACGATTTCGATATCTTTCTTCGTAATATATCGAAATAATTCGATACGTCGAAAAAGTATTAATACAAAAAATGTTATATGTTTAAAAAAAAATATGATATAAAAATTAATAATATAAATATTTTGATTGTGTATGACGAATTGAACAATTAAAAGTTTTTAAAAGCAATATTAAACGAGCTTTAATATTGTTTTTTATTTATGAACAATTTACATGATCGTATTCGACAATAGTTATTGAAAAATTATAGCTTTATAAAAAAATGAAAAATTGTTGCGTAATCCCACGTGTTTTGAAAAATGTATAAATGACAAATTTCTTTCTCAGAAAACTCGATACAACATATAAGTCTTTGTGAACATAATTTAACAATATCGACAACATATAGATTCGTGAAATTTTATTTTAATACTTGGATACATTTATTTTTGTAATAAAGTATCTCCTTCTAGCTCTTTAATTATCGCTTCTTTATAACATCTCGTTCAAAGCCATCAAAATAAAAATAAGAGCAATTAAAAATAGTAAAATACTTCTTACACGTGGTTGTCTTAAAAACGTAATGATCTGTGTACAATTTTTACAAAAAATACGTTGAACAACAATATAGAAAGTTAAAAAAAGAGATATAATCAAATTATATCGAACCAATTATACATTAGAAATGTATGCTTTTTTCAAGTAAAAGGTTTTAAACATTTTACGGCATTTAATTTGCTTTCTTCCTTTCAATTACTATATAATGCATTTTGTATTCGAGTCACATAGATACTAAAATATGTTTCTTTTTTTTTCATGCCAATAAGGATTTTCTTAAATTAAGCATTAGTTAGAATTCAAAAACGTTATGATGTAGCAATTGTATTATACGTTGCAGAAAGATCGATTTACGCCGCTGTATATTAAGACAAAAAATAAATTGAAATAATACTTTGATAATAACATAAAGTCTTTCAGATAGTAATACATTATGTTCTCTTGTTCGTATAATATTTTTCTTCTTTTACTTTCGTTTATCACAATGATTAGTAAGTATTTGAGAATATGTAGTTTTGAGTAAAATCCTCGATGAACAGAATATAATACAACGTGTATAAAATGCTCTGAACATGATGTGAGGCGTGTTTGAAGCGATTCAATGAAAATATTTACGGGGCTTAAATGCCAGCTAAAATAATTCTAGGGTCTTCCACAGCGTCCTTGATTTTTCTTAAGAACATCACAGCCTCGCGACCGTCAATTAATCGATGATCATATGTTAAAGCCACATACATCATTGGACGAATTTTAATCTGAAAATTATTAAAAGATCAATAAAATTTGTAATATTAGTCTTTATTAGAAGAAATTGTCGGTGTTTACCTCGCCCTTTACTGCAACGGGCCTGTCGAATACTCCATGCATCCCAAGAATTGCACTTTGTGGTGGATTAATAATAGGTGTACCCAACAGAGAACCAAATACACCGCCGTTACTTATCGTGAATGTACCACCGTCCATATCTTCGACGGATATTTTGCCTTTTCTTGCTTTATCGCCTAAAGCTGCCAAAGCAATTTCAATTTCTGCAAAATTCTTGTTTTCTACGCTACGAAGAACTGGGACAACAAGACCCTTTGGTGTTGCAACTGCGACACTAATATCAACATAGTCTCTATAAACTATGTCAGTGCCATCTATTACAGCATTTACTACTGGTTGATCTTTTAAAGCATAGGTACTCGCTGCAATAAATGGACTCATAAATCCCAGCTTTAAACCATATTTCTTTGTAAAATTTTCTTGGTGCATTTTACGGAATTCCATAATGCGGCTGTAAAAAGAAAAAAAAGTTAGTTATTAACAAAAACAGAAGTTAACAATTATAGTTACAATAGATATGTAATAACCTCATATCGATCTCATTAAATGTAGTTAACATAGCGTTCGTATTTTGAGCATCTTTTAATCGTTCTGCAATACGTATTCGCATCCTGTTCATCTTTACCCGTTGTTCTGTTCTGGTGCCAAGTATTTCACGTGTATAATCAGCAGGAGGCAGTTGTACCTTTGCACCTTCCAATGACTAAAAATGTTCATTCATTTAATGAATAGCAAAAAATTTATAACAGGAAGGAAAATTTATAACAGAAATAAAGAATCTTTATTTCTGAATTTGCACAATTACACCTACTTGAGCATGTTTAATTGCAGCAACTGGCATGGATGCTGCAGGTGCTTGTGGAGGTGGAGGTCGTGCAGCTGGTGGTGGTACAGTTGCTGAAGGTGGTGGTGGTGGTGGTGGTGGTGGTGGCGGCGGTGGTGCTGCTGTACTAGGTGCAGGTGGAGGACTTGGAGCCTTTTCAGCTGGCTTTTCAGCTGGTTTCTCAACTGGTTTTTCAGCTGGTGCTGCTCCAACTGCGCCAACATCAATGGAACATAGTTTCTGTCCTGGCTTTACTGTTTCACCATCTTTGGCAAATATCTCTTTTACTACACCAGAAGCTGGTGATGGTACAGGAACTGAAGTCTGTGAAGGGATTATCATAAATATATAAATTACGAGATATGTTTATTATCTGTAAGTTCATTTGTTTATTGATTTTACCTTATCAGTTTCAATTTCACATAAGACATCATCTTCCTTAACTTGATCACCAACTTTCTTATCCCATCTGACATCCCCCTCACTTACACTTTCCGCAAATGGTGGTACTACAACTTCCTTTATTTCCCCTGTCAATTACAAATTTACATTATGCAAGAATTTATGTATAAAATCTTAACTATATATTTTCTTCCCTAAAGATGACTTACATAATGAAGATGTTGAATGAATATGTCTTGCCTGGTCTATCCAACAGTGAAATTTCTTATATTTTGTACATCTAGATAGAAATTAAAATTACATATTAAACTTTACTTATTAAATTAATTAACCATTTATACTACAGTTTATTCTAGATAAAAATGTAAAAAGTATTCATATTATATGGATATTTTACTCTTTTGATGTACTTTTTAAACTTACATTCGTGAGTTCTTGTTGACCACATG